AAGTCACTGGAAATGGACGTGGAGAATTTCCAACTTGTTCAAATGGAAATAATGGTACCATTTGCATATAGGACAAATTAAAACTGTCTTACGACACAGAAAAGTTATGGAAAAGAAGAAGATGCAAATCAGTCGCAACAAAATCGAAATACCTGGACGAATATACAGATAGAACACGTAAATCTGCCCAAATGTAGAGAATAGTATAAGAAAACTGAATAGTCCAATTAACTACACAAGTAGAAGCCAACAAAATATCAATCATATTATTGCATTTATTCTAAGGAAAAATACCAATACACACATCGCAAATATTAAAATAATATTGAGACATAATAGGACAGAAATGCCCCGCTACAAAACACCACATATACAAAGAACGTAAAAGGCGTGGCAGCGATTGATTTTTTTGTTGTTGCTTCAGCTCATGCTTCTGCCTGTCTCACTTGCCTTCAACAGCTCCTACCCACATCCGAGTAGGCGACTTGTCAGCAACCAGTGCCAATGTGTCTTGGACGTGGTCGCCAGGCCCCCATAATTACCAAGTCACCGTTGCAACGGGAGTGCATGAGAAAGGCATGTCCGAATGCACGTCTTTTGATGGGGCACATTGCATGCTCACGGGTATGCACCCGGACACTGTTTACAATATCTATGTTGTCGCCTGCTCAGTGGTGACAGTACAGTGCAGTTTGCCCTCGGAAGTACCGATTACGGTCAAGACTCTGCCAACGGGTATGCATTTTAAACGTCATCACTATAACCTACCCGTGTCCTGTGTAGTTCAGCTTGTTATATCTTCAGCTCTGTTAATCCTTAACTTCATAACGTGGCTGTTACTGCTGATACTGCTCTTCACACTTGTGCCTTTCGCTTTACCTCTCAACAGCTCTTAACAACCTCCAAGTATCCGACATCACATCAGTGAGTTTCACTGTCGCCCGGCCGACGTCGGAGGGCATAAAAGAAAACACAACTGTCAAATATCACTACTTTGCCACGACTGCGGATGGTGCAAATATAGTATCTAACTGCACAATAATTTCTGAGACACAGTGCATTCTCGCTGGACTGCATCCAGACACCCTGTACAATATCACGAGGGTGACATGCTCCATATTGACAGAAGAGTGCACTCCTGCCTTGATAGCACCCATTTCGGTCAGGACATATCCGGCAGGTATGCACATCACCTACCACCTTTATTACCCTGCTATCTCCTGTAGTTCAGCTGTTCCAAACTAATTAATCCTCTTTGCTGTCAGTGCTATTGTGAGCCAATATGTTTGTGCTTTAGCAGTCAGTGTATGTGGGCGGCCGCAGTGTGTTTGTCGCAGGGGGTTAACTAAGTTAAACCATAGCAACTGTGATCTTCAGACCATGGTTACTTAGGTGAGAAGAAGTCGGTGGAGGCCAGTATTAAGAACAGTATATTGTGTACACAGAGGAACGGAGAATAGATGGAAAGAGTTTTGACTTGAAGAGCGTATAACCGGCCAGAAGGCCGGGAGGGTCCAAGTGCTGACTTGACAGCAGTCAGGCCAGTAAACAGAAAGGGAGAGAGAGGGAGCGTTCACTGGCTGGTTCGGCCTTGATGGTTTTTGGTCGGACAGATAGATTGCATCTGGACGCCTGCAGGCATGCTTTTCGTTACCGGCCCCAAAAGGCATCTATGCGGCAACTGTGATTGGCTGGTCCCAGACGTTAAGAACAGCAGTCTTGAGATTCTAGGGAAGTTTACTTCGAGGCGATCTAGTCAAAACACATTGCCCAGTCTGGTCACCGGAATCCCCGTGTATTCTGCGTTTGTTGTACGCAGTGTTCCTTAATGCCTGTCCTTTTTGAAAATCTCCACAGTTTTCCAGGGGTTTTGTGAGTCGTTATCAGACTTACTCTTTGGACATTATGAAGCCTGATTGGAAGCACCTAGTCTGCCGTTTGAACACATCCGGCATCACTATGTCGTTTGGCGGGAGTCCTATGGTCACACTGCCAGCTGTGGGAGAAAAATACATAGATAAATGAGGTTACACTTGTTCTTGATATCGTACGGACTGCCACGCAGGTGTATCACATGTGTTTACTCAAAGAAATATTTGAATTTCAGCGAGCAGGCCTGTCCGTGCATGCTAAGGAATGTTCATTACACTTTGAAACTCATTAGTCTATGTAGTTGCCCGACAAAAATCTTGGTCGAGTTTCTTAAGACGATAGTCTGATCAAAGTCTAGCAACCTTCTCGGCTCTCCTAAGGCGTTGTGCCTGCCGCCCACCATCACAATAATTCCTTTGTTCAATAGCGTTCGCTGGGCTGGGCCCGAGCAATGACCTTAGACCGGACGTGAACGCAACTGGTCGCAGTTCCTAGCGAGCGGCACGGATGACCTCTCAGGTCACGCTATCGGTCCGCCCCCACACAAAGGCGCGCGCAACTGTGCGCGGGCAGCCAATTCGGCCAATCAGGCCACAAGCAAACGCGAAGACAATCTCTTATAAGCCACTGCCTCTAGCAGACAGAGAGAGTTGCATCACACACCGGATAGCGAAAACACGCTAGTCTGCTCGCAATGCCGGGGCTTGCCTGCGAAGCAGGGACAAAGAGCACGCTGGAGATCAACCAGCGGCAACAGCCACCCGGGACAGCAACTCCGGGTTTAGTTCACAACAAACCCTCCTCTAGGTGGATACCAAAAGCTACGCCCTTCCTATTGCGTTCTCCCTTTTGGATTCCGAAAAGCGTAATTAGACGGTGACACACACAGATGTCACCGTTACAACTAAAACCGTCGTCGTTACAACACTGGCAACGTAGGTGAGATTGTTCTTCAGGACCTTACAACAATATTTGACGCAAATTTCAACATGTGCATTTCCGCGGAACAATTGCTGTTCTACGAAAGCGTCGTGATCCCACCAGCCATCACACGACATTGGAGTCTTCACATTCTTGGAGACACTGCCAGTTGTCACCATTACAACTTGGTGTCAGAGAAATCACCATTTTCTAGCATCGCGGGAAATGGCTGACTATCATGCAGTACATATCAAGCATGGGTGACGCTCATTCCAAAAAGCGTAGTTCGACGGTGACACACGTTAGATGTCACCGTTATAACACAATTAAGTCTATCGCAGGAGGTTAGGTAAGTCAAACCCTAGCTACTGCGATCTTCAGACCGTGGTTACCTAGTAGGGAAGAAGTCTTGGGAAGGCCAGAATAGTAGGAACAGTATATTTTGTACACAGAGAAACAGAGCATAGATGGAAGGAGATTTGACTTGGAGAGCATATAACCGGCCAGGAGGGCCAGTCACGTTCAAGTGCTGATTTGACAGCAGTCAGGTCAGTAGACAGGGGAGAGCGCTCATTGGCTTGGTAGGCCTTGAAGGCTTTTGGCCAGACAGACAGACAGAGAGAGAGAGCAATTCACGCGTACAGGCTTGCTATTCGTCACCTCGCATAGGACCAACTATGCGACATCTACGATTGGCTGTTCGCAGACGTCGAAAACCGCATCGGTGGGCCTTTAGAAAAGTGCACTTGAACGTGAGATAGTCACAACAACTCTCTCTGACTGGTTGAATGAGGGACATTGGCTTTAGTTTCGCGCAGAACGGAAGTTCCACTTTCCTTTGCTAGTAACAGAGGGATAAGCCTTTCAAGCCTATCTATATATGTATTATAATGTGTCATGGTTCTTATCGCCATTTACTTAACTCTCATTCAACAGCTCCCACCCATATCCAAGTAACCGACTTGACAGAAACCCGTGTCAATGTTTCCTGGACATGGCCGCCAGGCGTCCATACTTCCCAAATCATCGTTGCAACGGCAATGACGGAGGAAATCGTGGCCGACTGCGCGAGTTTTCATGAGGCACACTGCATGCTCATTGGTCTTCATCCGGACACCGCATACAATATCACTGTAGTGGCCTGTTCCGTGGCGACAGTACAATGCAGTCCGCCCTCTTTAGTACGCATTACGGTCAAGACTCTGCCAGCAGGTTTGCACTTTACCTTCCATCACTTCGATCCTGTAATGCAGCTGTTATGTTAGTTCTAGGTACATCACCTTAGCCTCCTTGCTGTCGGCGCTGCAGCATGTAACTAAGTGGTTTGGCTTTGGGCACTTGGTATATTGAGGTCCAGTCTTGCCAAAACAGCTGACTGAGCGCTTTTTCTTAAGGGCAACATGCTTGGAAGTAGTACGGCTTTTGTGCTAGTTCCAGTTAGACCAACTTATTCTTTGTGTTCTGAACGCTGTGGCTGACAATCTGATAACGGTTGTCTGCCAATGCAAGCGAACATGCGAGTCCCAGGAAGTAACTGAGAAGAAGACGACTCGATCGCTGGGAC